TTTTTACCTGCATGTCAAAAGCAGAACTTTTTCAAAATGTCAATTTTACCAAAAAAAAAGGCTAATATTTATACTGACATTTTAATAAAAATAATTAAGATAGGCCTTTATTTGGGGGGGGGTGAGAGATGGAGTGGCAACTCCCTTTTACTTCAAATGCAGTCTGACATTTAAATTCTTTCAATGTCTTCCCATCCCTGATCTCATTCATTATCTGCTATCCTCCACAAACCTGCTGATTGCTAACGCCTACATACAACACCATTCCCTTCACCTATAATTCCTTCCTAACCTTCTTTTCCACCAATACCTACTTTTAAGACCCAGTTTTAAAAAATTCTCTTTTTCAAAATGTATTCATTTCCCTACTTAGAATCTTCAATGTTAATATGTTCAACTCCAAATGTCCAAAATAATTCAATATTTCTTTTCCCCTAAAACTTATTCCTTCTATTCCAATGTCTATTGATGACATCATTATTCTTCCAGTCAATCAGGCCCATCCCTTTTGTGTGATCTCCGGCTTTTCACTTTTCTTTACCCCACAAACATATTTGATAGGTTGCCATGTCTTGTCATTCCCATCTCTACATCTCACACAACTAGATCAGGCTCCTGTCACCAGGACTATTCCAAGAGCCTCCCAAATGGTCTCCGTGAAATCATTCTCTCTTCTCTACAATCCATCCTCTACACAGGTGCCAAATTCACAAGACTAAGGCATTAAATTAACCATGTAACTTACTACTCTGCCAGGTAGATTCAGAGGCTCCCCACTGCCCTTAGCATGAAATACAAATTTTTCTATTTGGCATTTAAAGCCTTTCATAATGTGGCTCTGGCTTTTCTTTTCAGGATAATTACACTCTTCACTCTGGTTGGATTAGTCAACCTGTGGTTCCCCATAAATGCCATTCTATCTCCCACCTCTGTGCCTTTACACAGACTGTACCCCAAATCAGAAGTGATGTCTTCTCACCTATCTCTTCAAACCTTCACTTAGGCAAAGACCTCCTTCAAGAAGCCTTTCCTGATTTCTCCAATTGTTAAGTCCCCCCTAATCACCATGAATATATTTTGCAATCACCTTATATTTACTTATCCATGATTTATTTATCCACTTATCCATATTTTATCCCCCTAAACCGAATGAAAGCTCTTGGAGGGCAAGGGCTATACTACATTTTTATTTGTCTCCCCAATGCCTAGCAAAAAGTATAGCACACATTCCTTACTTAATGTTTATTCATATAATTAATATATTAATATTATATCATAGAATGTATTGTTAGATAATTACTATAGTAAACACTGACATATTAATGTTAACTGATATATAAACACACTATATTACTTTTCCACAAAATACTTCCTTTAATATTCTCTATTTCATATCTACAAAAAAGGCATCATTAAACTTCTATTTCGTACCATCCCACCCTTGTCATAATTGCAGTCATCCTTATCAACAGAGAACCCCAATTTAATGTTTTCAGTTGTCTCCTCCTGCTAGATTTTCTTTTAAAGCAGCTTCTGGCAAATTACAATTACAAAAATACTCTTTCCTTAAAATAAAGACTCTAAAAGTCACATATAAATACCAGCAAATACACAAACGCATTTTGGTAGTTTTCATCAGGAATGTATGAAACTAAAATAGAAACTGAAGGCTGGTAACTTTATATTCCAACCCATATAAAAATCATTTTAAGAAATACTTAATTTGGGGGGCAGCTAGGTGGAGCAGTGGATAGAGCACTGGCCCTGGATTCAGGAGGACCTGAGTTCAAATGCAGCCTCAGACACATAATACTTACTAGCTGCGTGACCCTGGGCAAGTCACTTAACCCTACTGCCTAGCCAATAAAAGAAAAAAATACTTAATTTGTAATCTTGATTTTATTGATCTGAATAGTTACTTGTATACTTGTTTTAGCTAAACAGTATCCTCATTTTTTTTCTACAAAGGAAAGCTATCAATCACAAGGCACAAAAACAGAGGTTATTAACAATTTGACCAAGTAACCTAAAAAGTTAAGACACAAATATCCAAGTCTGGAATACAGAGTACAGATATAATTCATTACTGAGTTTTATTTTGATAGTTTTATTTGAAAATAATTGTTAATGAAAAGGGAAAAGGACTTATACGTACAAAAATATTTCTAACAGCTTTTTGTGGTGGCAAAGAAATGGCAATTGAGGGGATTCTCATCAATTAGGGAATGGCTGAACAAGTTGTGGTATATGATTTTGATGGAATACTATTGTGCTATGAGAAATGATGAGCGGGATTAGTTTCAGAGACACCTCGAAAGACTTGTATGAACTGGTATAAAATGAAATGAGCAGAACCAGGAAAACACTGTACATAGTAACAGCAATACTGTATTGCAGATAAAATGTGGAAGACTTAGCTACTCTGATCAATATAATGATCCAAGACAATTCCAAAGGACCCATGATGAAAAATGCCATCCACTTCCAGAGAGAGAACTAATGAACTCTGTGTGCAGAATAAAGCATACTTTTTTCACTTTCTTTATGTTTCTTGTTTTTATGGTTTTGTGGGGTTTTTTGTTTTGTTTTTGCAACATGATTAATATGGAAAACTTTTTTGCATTACTTCTTATGTATAACTGATATCATACTACTTGCCTTATCAATGGAGGTGGGGGAAGAGAAAGGGAGGAGAGGGAGGGAGAGAATTTGGAATTCAAAAAACTTTTTAAATGAATGTTTAAAATAAATAGAAAGACAGATGAATGAATGAGAGAATGATGAACGAATAAAAAATTGTTTAAGCTTTAAAATGGAATAAACTAATGTTCACTCTCTGGCTTAAAATTTTTCAATGCCTCCCTAAAATCTTCCAAGCAAACATTTAAGTTGCTTTTAAATTTGACTGAAGACAGTCAAGACCCTCAATTTTTCTAGATTCCTCCTTTCCTCTGTGCATTCTAATAACCAAAACAAACCCCCTGCCCTTCACTTCCACATCTCTTTAACATATATCCTGTGGTTTCCCTTTCAATCATATAATTTGGAACTGGAAGGGGCCTTAGGGATTTAAACCAGAATCCTTGGCAATGTGAAAAATCAGAAACCATGTATCATTATGCTATACAAGTATGGAATTCAAACGGAATGTTAGAGCTCTATAAATATATACAAACACAAACACTTACATAAATAGGTATGTATGTACGAATATATGTACACATATACACACACATATATGTATATATACACACATTTATGTATATATACACACATGTGTATGTTTAAACTAATGACTGTTAACTTACAAAGAAAGCTTAAGATATTTGCATCTTGATCTGGATTACTTTTTTTTAAGGCAATTGGGGTTAAGTAACTTGCCCAGGGTCACACAGCTAGTAAGTGTCTGAGGCCACATTTGAATTCAGGTCCTCCTGAATCCAGGGCTGATGCTCTATCCACTGCGCCATCTAGTTGCCCCAATCTGGATTATTTTAAGTATCTATATTGCTTAACAAAAGTGTGATATATTGTTTAGCGGCCATTCACTAGTTTTTCATAAACAAAATATTAAGTATATAATATCTATTTCAGAAAAGTTTTGGTTTGTCTGTTGTTTGGGTTTTTTTTTTTTTTGCTAAGGAGCTACCTTAATTGTTTGATTTCAAAGCTGTACAGTCATACTTCCCTTATTTGGTAACCTCAACTATCAGGAAAACAGCCAAGAACCGGGGAATAAGCAAAAAGATCTGTGAAAATCCAAAATAAATGTTGAAGTCCACACACTAAAGCTCATGGGTCTTACTTGCCAGAGAATCCCTTAAGCCCCTACACAAAGTTTTTATGTTCTTACTGGACACAACATTTTAATAAACTTGATGATGTTTTCCCAGTTCGTAGCACATTAGAAAGGAAAGGCGGTGATACAAACACACATACTAATAAAAACAAAGTGACTTTAATAGACAGGACAATTAGAAAAAGCAAACAGAAGAAACAAAAGAGCACTAAGGTCTAGGGTCAGCTAGCATAGGAGCAAATACCCCTACTCACATCAAGAGCCTCTGAGAATATCATGATACAAAAGCACCTTATGATAATTCGCTTTCATAATGAAAGGGCAGTAGTAGCATAGTGGAAAGTGCACTAAAGTAACTTGGGCTTGGATACTAACTCTATTACTTACTAACCATGTAACTGGGAAAGTCACTTCACAAAGTTTTGAACTTAGCCTCCTCATATATACAAGTGAGAATAGTTTGCCTACTTTACAGCTTAGTTTAGAGATAAGTACCCCATAACTACAGAGTGCTAGCATTATACAAATGCAAACTAGTAATGTTATGATAATCTTGAATTATTACAACAGGGTTAAATTATGTTCAGCATGCTCAGCTTAAGAAGGCAGGGCAACATGTGATATATTTTACAAAGATCTTTTTCACCTACACATGAGGAAGGTGAAGCTAAGAGATAGTAAACGAGTTATCCAAGATCACAGAATCAGTCAGCTAATGCAAAAAAGTAATTCTTTAAAAATACATTTTTAAAAATAAATTTGGCAGTTAAAGGAAAGAGCTTTAAAATCTGGAAAAATCCACTTAGGAAAAAAAATTCTTCAGTAGTCCTGGATATATTATTTTAAAATTACACGGTTTCTTCAAAAGTCAAAAAATTAAACTGTTCTCATATCTTGTTAAATTTCTAAATATATTCTACTTTAAAGAATGGGTTTTAAAGGCTTTCTAAAATATACAAAGCCAGAAGCATTGAGCTGAACTAAATTTTCAAAGTAAATTAATTCAGTACTTTCTCTAGTAAAGTTTCTAGCTTCTAAAATAAATTTTCCATTAAAGTTCTAGTTTTTGAAATTTTTAGTGAAGGTTACACTCAAGAGTCTGTAAAAAGAGACATAGGAGAGGGGAAAGAATACAAATCAAAATATACTGAAATGAAAATTATGCAGTTAATTCATCAAAAAAAATTTTTTTAACACTTACCAAACAGTGTTAGTTTCAATATCCTGCTACACTGAATTGCAAAGGAAAGATCAGAACTATCGAAAATTGTTATAAGATCTCCATCTGAAAAGATTTTTAAAACAGGAATGATTTCACATTATCAACAATGAATAGAACTTGTGCCTAGTTTAAAGATTAAATTCCAACCTATAACTCATCTAAAGATGTTTTAAAGGCAACTAGAAAATACCAACCCAACAAAAACCTTAATTGCTGTTTGAATGAAGCACCTGGCAAATACGAATTTGTTCAAATGAAAGTATTGCAGGATTGCTCATTACTATTTGTGGTAATACACAGCTTTATAATGGAACCAGATAAACCAAAAAGCATCTATAGTTAATGAAGTAAATGGAATTCAGAATGGCAATATTATCACAAATTTTTAGTTTTCCAATTACATTTTCACTGCAAATACATGAGGCAAATTATAACCTTAACTGAACACCACTTTAAAGAGAGTATCTTTAAAGATTCAAACCTCAGACTAAATAGAGTAAAATCTTAGATTTAGACAGGAGGAAAAAAATCAACCTAAATTATAAAATGTTTTATAAGAAATTAAGCTTTTACTACTTTCAAAGAAACACAGTAACTCGAACTAGTCTAAGTGCTGAAAAAAAGAATCTCTCAGTTTCTTCATTAGTAAAATAAGAGTTGGATTTGATGATCTTAAATGTCCCTTCCAGCTCTAAGTCTATGATACAAAGTAACCAAACAGCACTAAATCCATATTTTTACTGCACTTTTCAAAAGCTGCAAAAGGACTGGCTGCAACCAGAGGGCAGGGATCAAATCACTCTTCCTCAGCTTTGCTGAGATCATGCTTTCAAGTTCTCATAGGGGGTTCCTTAATCTTTTTTTTTTTTTGCATCATGTACCACTTTAAAGTCTAGTGAGGACCCTGGGCCCTTTCTCAGAATGTTTGCTGTCTATAAAAACAAAAATGTATAATTTTTTTCTCATGGAAGTTCAAAGATCCTTTAAAATCTATCCAGGGATCCCAGGTTAAGAAGTGTTGCCCTGGAGGGCAGGGATCATGCCTTCTGCTCCTTTTGTACCCTGCTGTAATGCCTGGAGCACTAGATATGAAATCTAGAAGATCTGCATTCAATCATAACTTAGACATTTACTAGCTGTGTAACCCTGAACAAGTCACTTCACTTCTCTATACCACAGCAGTTTCCTCATATGTAAAATGAAGGAGTTGAAGCTGACGGCCTCTACAATCTCTTCCGGCTACAAATCTATGATCCTACAATCTAGTACAGTACTCTAAACACTACAGACATTCAACAAATTTTGGAACAATGGTGGGGAAGAAGTACATAATTGGAGCATATGAATCCATCTTCTGACTGTGTATCAACCTTATTATTAACAAGATGCTAGAACTAGACTAGGGAAGCTGCAAGACAGAAGATGATTATCTAAAAGATGATCAGCAAGAAGAGGTAAGGGGCATTAAAAAGTACCTAGTAGATGAATTTGTATTTTAGACTTCCTCAGGGACAAAAGTGAAAAGAAGCTTTTGTTTGCAATAAATCTTTGGCAAAAACATGCCCAAGTCCCAATCAAAGGCAGTTAAGCAAGCTAGACTAGGAAGAAAAGGCAGAAAAACCCCTATACTCTTTGGGTCCGTAGCCCCCAATGCCACAAGAGTTACACAGAAGAATGACAGATCATAGATCTTTCTTTCAGGAAATATGGAGTGAAAAGGGCAACGCTGAGGTAAACTGCAAAGAGTGTATACTATGTTGGTGTTTCTGTCTCAGTGACAAGAAACAAATATTTATGCACAAGTACAGGTTAATCTCCCTCCTCAGATGTAGAAAAAGGTAAAGGCAAAAGGACTGGGGGAGTATGTCTCCATTATGCAGATTATTAGGGAGAATAATGTTCCTTGAAAGAAGGAACTAAAAAAGAAAAGAAATACAAAAAGGCAGAGAAAAATCCTAACCTGTGTCAGGAAGTTGGAGAATGGAAGAATGCAACCAAGAGGTAAGGAAAGGAGGGCCTCTGCACATCTGGAGCTATTCAATAAATATGAAGCTCTTGCCCTTGAAGGTAGAACTGGGCCCTTGAAGGAAGAAGCAACTTCTTATGCACCAAGAATAGTGACGAAATGTGAAGTCTTATAGTAATATTTAGGGAAAATGTCCAGGAGTGATGGCTGATAACTCCGTACAGAGGACTACTGAGGCAATCTTGAATGAAAAATAGAAATCTGCTGTGCACATGGATCCACAATGTGACAGAGAACCTTCAACACTTGTCAAAACCAATAACCACTACCCACTATTGGTGACTGATGTAAAAAAGAAAAAATAAGGATTCTGCTAGAAGGAACAGTATAAGTTTTTGGAAGGATTATGAAGTTCTTGGAAAGAAATTACTGACTTTATAAAGGCAGTTTCCTCATTTTTACCAAGTAAAAGAAAGGGATTCAGAAAAGAAAGGCAGATGGGAAAAGTCAACAGTTGGTTAAAATGGTATTTAAGAATAGAATCTGAATTCTAGAACATGGTTTAAGAGATAAGAAAAGGAAGCTTGCAGCCAGAGACAAAGTACATCTAACAAGAACTGGTTAAAATATTTGCCTAGAGACTAGCAAATCTGATCAAAAAAGTTTTAAACTCAAAATGGAAGGAGAGGAAAAAAAGAAACATGCCAGTCTGAGGCATCTAAGCTTTACTATGAAGACAAATGGAAACTATTGATGTTTTCTGAGGAAAGGTCAACAATGATCCAAGTACATAGTATTTAGGAAGCCAAAAAGAGGAGTTAGTTTTGTGGGACGTTATAAGAAATAAAACTGAGTTCAAGGTACAGACATGAAATCCAGGTAAAAAAATGTCCAAATTTCAATTAACCCAATGAACATTGATAGGAAAAAAAAAGAGGTATTTACTTGTCACTGAATGGAAGAGGTTCAATAAAAGTACTAAAAACAGGTATTCTGATAGCAGCATCATTCTAACACCAAAGGGGCATTCTTAACCTGAGATCTATGTATATTTTTTTATTATGACAATAATTTTTATTATTTGGCAAGGATATTTCAACATTACTGGTTTCCTTTGTAGTTCTATGTATTTTTTTTATGCATTTAAAAACATTATTCTGAGAAGAGGTCCACAGGCTTCACCAAACTGCCAAAGTAACCCCAGACAGAAAAAAAAAAAAGGTTAAGAACTTCTGTTCTAGACCATGGTCAAAAGGAACAGTATATACAATACTGCTTGTCATTGATTAAAATATTTATTTTGCCTAGATTTTTTGCCTTCTAAAATACTCATAGAAAAACACTTACCTTCATCTTTATACTTTATAGTAACCTCATCGTTACTCTGAAGTTTCCCCCGGAAAACTCTCTGCATCATCAGCACTAATTCATCATAAGTAATGTCTTCATTATGAATGGGAATTCTCCGAATATCTTCCCCAAGCTGAGCTTTAATAATTAGCTTTCCACTTAAATCCAACTGCCCATTCATGGTGGACTCCAGGATGTTCTACAAAACTGCCAGGAGATAAGGACAAAGAGTTTTAAAACTTAAAAAGTTATAATATACATCTTGAAAAAAAATTACTAGATATCAAAACTTTAACAAATGTAGATGGAACACAGTCCACAGTCCCTAAATTTACTTAGTCAAATTTATATAGTCAAAATTAGCTTCTATGATATGAAGAGACCAAACTAGATGATCTCTAAAGGTCCTTCCACTTCTGAAATTATATGACTGTGATTTTAACCTAACAAAGACAAATGAAAATGTATCTTTCCAAATACAAAGCACTTTAGTATTAAAATATTCAGTCAAATGAATAAGGCAGTTGCTAACATGAACACATAAGTAAAAAAAAAAGTTCATATAAGCATTAGTTCTAGTAACAAAAAACTGTAAATAATGTGCCCAATGTTTAGGTACCAGCTAAACAAATCATAGTATATAAATGTAATAGAAGATTACTGTGTCAAAAACAATGATGAATATGAACAATTCAGAGAAGTAGGGTAAGAGCTTGATGAAATAATTCAAAGAAAGCAGAGGCAAAAGAAAAATATATATACTAAGTAAAACAACATAATTAAAATCAACATAGGCAACAAAACTCGGGTCAAATATAATGGTCAATGTAGTGTCATACTGAATGACCAAGCACTGTGCTATGTGCTGGGGAGATAAATATAAAATTGAGACAGTCTCTCCCCTCAAAAAGATTACATTCTAATATGGAGAAACCACACATATAAAGGAGTAATGGCTAGGGAAGGAAATTCTCATCTCCTTGTCCCAACAGCAGGGCAGATGACAGACGTCACTCCTCATTCTGTTAACAATTTATTAACTTTTTTGACAATGTACCTTGGATTTCTGCTGAAAAGGATGTGTCACGAAAACAAATTTTAAAATAAAGCAGGGTGGCAAAGGGCTATAAAATCGTGTCTACCTTTTGACCTAGCAACACCACTTCTAGGTCTGTATCCCAAAGTGATCATAAAAATGGGAAAAGGACCCACATGTACAAAAATATTCAGGCAAAGAATTGGAAATTGAGGGGATGCCCATCAATTGGGAAGTGGCTAAATAAGTTATGGTATATGAATGAAATGGAATACTATTGTGCTATAAAAAAATGATGAGCAGGCAGATTTCAGAAAAACCTGGACTTACATGAACTGATGATGAGTGAAGTGAGCAGAACTAGGAGAACATTATACACACTAATACACAGCAACATTGTGTGATGACTAATTTTGAGAGACAGCTCTTTTCAGCAATGCAAGGATCTAAGACAACTCCAAAAGATTCATGATGGAAAATGCTATCCACATCCAGAAAAAGAACTATGGAGTCTGAATGCAGATCGAAGAATACTATGTGATCGCTCTGTTTTGTTTTGTTTCTTCTTTCTCATGGTTTCTCTTATTGGTTCTAAGTCTTCTTTAGAACATGATTAATGTGAAAATGTTTAATATGAATGTGTATGTAGAGCCCATATCAGATTGCATGCTGTCTTGGGGAGGAGTCATAGAGAGGGAGAAAATTTAGAACTCAAAATCTTATGGTTAATGTTGAAAACTAAAAATAACTAATAAAAAATATTTTGATAACCATAAAAAAAAACTCTGAGGTACCACAGCATACCTATCAGAGTGGCTAATATGACAAAAAAGGGAAATGCTGGATGTTGGAGAAGATGCTGGAAAACTGGGATACTAATGCACTGTTAGTGGAGTTGTGAACTGATCCAACTATTCTGGAAAGCAATTTGGAACTATGGCCAAAGGGCTATAAAACTGTGCATACCCTCTTATCTAGCAATACCACTGCTAGGTCTATATCCCAAAGACATCAAAAAAAAAATGGAAAAGGACTTACTTATATAAAAAAATTTATAGCAGCTCTCTTTGTAGCAGGTAAGAATTGGAAATTGAAGGGATGCCTAGCAATTAAGGAATGGCTAACAAGGGATGCTATATGATTGTAATGGAATATTATTGTGCTGTAAGAAATGACAAGTAGGATAATTTCAGAAAAATCTGGAAAGACTTACATGAACTGATGCATAGTGAAATGAACAGAACCAAGAGAATGCTGTACACAATAATAGCAATACTGTATGATGAAGAACTGCGAATGATTTAGCTATTCTCAGCAACAGAATGATCCAAGACAATCCCAAAGGACTAACTACGAAACATATTATCCGCCTCCAGAGAAAGAACTGATATTGATTGAATACAGACTGAAGCATGCTATTTTTCACTATCTTTTTTCATTTTTTTCTTTTATTCAAGTGTTCTTGTACAAAATGACTAATGTGGAAATGTTTTACATAATTGCACAGGTAAAACTTATATTTGATTGCTTACCATGTCAGGGAGGGGGGACAAGAGGGAAGAAGTGAGGGACAGAATTTGGAATTCAAAATTTTAAATAAAAAATGGTAAAAAATAAAATAAACTAGGGTGGGAAAGCACTTCTTTTCCCTTTTTAAAATCAAAGTTTACAGTATCAAAATACAACATAAAAAGTTGGTTTTGCAAGTCTTATATACCTCACATACAGTAAAAACAAAAAAGGAAATGCTAATATGCCATTTAGGAAACTACTAAAATAAAGAAGTATCTGTGACTAGAGAAGCTGAAAATTTCCTGTCACTAAAATTTAGACATTTTGAAATTACAAATGTGGTTTTAAAAAAAGTTACAATTGTATAAGAATAACTCAAGTACACTAGGCTCAACTGTTCAGTCTCTCCCCAGTAAAAATAATGCACTACAAAATACATCTCATCTCCCACACACAAATTCTTCAATTTTCTCACAATTTTCTCACTACCTACCCACCAAGCTGACAACTCAGAAGTATCTTTTCATTGTTGCTCCTTCATTTCTAGAGTACTTTACTAGAATCCCTCCTTTGTCCCTACCTTATTTTATACTTAACTGTATATATGATAGGATCAAAGGATCTAGGGTTGGATGGGGCCTTTGAGATCATGTAGTCCAGTTCCTTCATTTTACAAATAAGAAAACTGAGACCCATGGATAACATGATCTGTCCCGAATGACACAATTAAGAAGTAGCAGAAGATGAACTGGAATTCAGGTTCTGATTCTACTCAGGTACTATATTCCTACACATCTCCCATGACCCTACTCCACTACCATGTAGGAAGCCCACACTCTTCATAAGCAGAAATTATTTATCTTTGTATTTGTAAGCCCAGCACAATCTCTTACTGATCTACTTAATATCTGAATTCCCCTGCAACTGGGTTATTGCTAAAATCCTGTATTTCCCTTACCTTCCCCAGACTCATATCTACAAATGTGACCTCAAACACCTGAACTGCCAAACCCTCAACAGTCCTCCAACACACCCTACCCACTCCACCCATCCTATCTGCTTACAGTACACTACTCATCACAGAGGCTCTCCCTTTCTCTTATCCTACACAAACTGTCCTCATTTTTTATTATACCTGCGTTCATATGCCTACCACATCTAGTCACACTTAAAACACCAGTTCAGTTGTTCCCACTTTAAAAATTTCACACATGCCATTTTCTCCTCTGCTGCACTAAACTACATACTTTCCCTGCTTTGTAATTCTATTCTAAGACCTGCTTCTTCTATTGATAACCATTATTCTTTACCCTACCAATAATAATAATAATAATAATAATAATAATAAATAGCTAACATTTACATAATTTACTATGTTATTGTTTACTATGTTACTACGTTATGTTTACTATGTGCTAGGCACTGTGCTAATAATAATAGCTACAATTTTTATATAGAGCCTACTATGCGTCAGGCATTTTACAATTATTATCTCATCTGATTCTCACAACAACCCTGGGAGGCAGGTGCTACTACTTTCACAGTTGAGGAAACTGAGGCAAACAGTAGTTAAGTGACTTGCTCAGGGTCACACAACAAGCAAGTATCTGAGGCTGGATTTGAATGCAGGTCTTCCTGACTCCAGGCCCAGTATTCTCTCCACTATGCCACCTACCTGCCTCTAACCTTTTCCTACCAACAGGAGAGTGGAGAAATGTCATTCTATTACATGCTAATCCTTGGGCTGGCCTCTTGCTGCCAGAATGGGAACAGAGATATCATATCCCACACTGATCCCCTGGGCTGTCCTTTTACCACTTTGAGGGCATTCTTCCTGTATGCAGAGATCAGGGAGACACCATTCCTTCCTGGTCCCCTCATCTATTTCCTAGCCTGGCCTGTCACAAGGACAGAACAGAAATGCTATTCCATCAGCTCCTCCCACTTGTTACCTGACCTGAGCTGACACGCCCTGAGGTGACATTATTTTCAGGCTAACCCCCAATGATGATAATAACCTTCCTGAACCCATTTAGAAACAAACTCCCACTGGGTCATATACCCTTCTCCATCAGTGATCCAGAACTCCTGGTTAGCTTTATATAAACCCTATTCTCCATCCCCTCATTGCCCATTCCCTTATTTCCATCATCCTCAATACAACCTCCTCCAACATAGCACTCTAAGGTACCCGCTCTTTCCACTGTGCTCTCTAGAATGTTGTCTCTATAGGTAACAAAGTTGTTTTCATCTTAAATCTTTTCCTTTCCCACTCCTTTTACCTTCTGGCTATTACTGAGACCTGGCTCTCTGATGACACAGCTTCCCTGCACGCCCTCTCCAGCCCTAACTGAACTTTCATTTCCCCTGACTCAGTCACTGATCCAGATACGGGAATTGGAATATTTGCTTCCCATTGTCATTTCCAGGCTCTTCTTCCTCCTCCATCACTCAATAACATTTCCTCCCTCCTTTGAGGTTGACTCAATCTGTATCTGGTAGCTGATATGCTGGTATCTGTTGTCTACCAACTTCTAGGATGTTCTTCTTTCCTCGAGTGCAGTGGCTGGCTCAGTCTTCCTCTCTGACCCAACTTCTGTCTTCATCCATTAATATACATATTTACACTCCCTTAACATGGCAGGTTCCCTTACTTACTCATTTCCCAAGATCTACTCCTTCACCCCAACTCAGCTACACAAAGAGATGGTCATACTTTTAATCTTATTCATATTATCTCAATGAGGCCCTCACTGAAGCTAGGCAATCCTTTTACATTCCCTAATTAACCCACTATCCCACTCTTTTCCTTATGTTTCATCCCACCTCAAACCTATCATAGCTTCTCCTTCCCCTACCCTCTCAACTGAGATTTGCCTCATATTTCACAGAAAAAGTTAAAGCCATTTACTGAGAACTTTTTCTTCCCTCCTCAACTTATATGTCTCAGATGACTGCTACCATCTCCAAGTTCAGATGTCAAATTCTTCTCCAGGCACAAAAATGATCCCATTCCATCCCCTCTTCTCAGCCCCTGGTCTGGCCCTACCCACACCCATCACTCCTCTTCAATCTCTCCTTGTCTACTGGCTATTTCCATACTGCCTACAAATATGCCCATGTTTACCCCATACTCAAAAAAACAAAACTTGATCTATCCATCCTAGCTTGCTATAGTTCCATCTCTCTCCTCTCTTTTGTGGCAAAACTCCTTAAGAAAGCCATTTCAAGCACAGTTAGCTGCCTCCATTCCTTTCCTCTCACTCTCTTAACTCTCTTCTATCTGGCTTTCATCTTCTCCAAAGTTACTAAGTCATCTTCTCCCTGATACTCTATCTAGATTTTTGTGACAGTACTCTCTCCTGATTTTCCTATTTGACAACTTGTCAGAGTCCTTTGAAAGATATTCATCTAGGTTATGCCAGCTAGCTATAGGTGTCCCACAGGACCCTCTATTATTTCACTTGGTGATCATCAGCTCCCATGGATTCAGTTATCATCTCTATGCTGATGATTCTCAAAGCTACTTACCCAGCCATGAACCTCTGTAGACTTCCAGTCTTGAATCTTCAACTGCCTATCAAATATCTTAAAGTGGATACAGAGATCTTAAACTCAAACTGTCTAAAACTGACTTCATTATCTTTGTCCCCCTCCCTTTAACTTCCTTATTAATGTTAAGAGTACCACCATTCTCCCCAGCACTCAGGCTTGCAATCTAGGGCCACCTTGGTGTCATCTTCAACTCCTCACTTTCTCTCAACCTCCATATCCAATCTGTTACCCAGGCTGTCGATTTTATCCTCATAACATCTCTCACATACGCTCCCTTCTTTCCTCTTACCACCACCTTGGTGAAGACCCTCATTACCTCAAATTGGCCTACAGCAATAGCCAAGTGGCTGATCTCCCTGCCACAAATCTCTTTCCTAGCCACTAAGTTGTCAAACTAATCTTCCTAAAGTACAGATCTGACCATGCTACCATCCTACTCAATAAACTCCTGTGGTTCTCTTACCTCCAGGATCAAAAAATCCTATTTGCCATTCAAAGCCTTTCATGATCTGCCCTCTCCTCCATACATCCTTTCCAGTCTTCTTACATCTTACAACTGCTCCCCCCCAATCACACACACACACACACACACACACACACACACACACACACACACACACACACCCCTCTATAGTCTAGTGACAATGGCCTCCTTGATTCTGTTCCCACAAATGCTCTCCTTCCTCATCTTGGATGATTTCCTTCATATCCCAAGCTAAAATCCCACCTTTCCTGATCCACTTAATTCTAGTTCCTCCTTCTATTAATTATGTCCAATTTATCCTGTACATACTTGTTTGTATACAGTTGTGTGCATATTGTCTCCCTTATTAAGACTTTGAGCTCCTTGACAGCAAGGACTGTCTTGTGTCTTACTTTGTATCTCCAGGCTTATCACAATCCCTGGCACACAGTAAGCACATAATAAATGCTACTTACTAACTAAAAAGAAAATAAACCACCCTTATGTTTCTAATGATATGAAGGTGAATAAAGCCTAGTCCTCTTATCTCTTCATGACTCATCAGCAAGAAATTGGTAGCATTATCATTGTGCTATTAAGCAGCTAGGGCTGCTGCTGAACCCAAATAGCACATTTCAACAACATTCTCCTTTCAAAGTCCACAAAATTCTTGAGAAAGCATAATTTACTAAGCCTTCGTGAGGAATTCTCCTAGTTCAATTCCACAAAGATTTATTATTATTTTGCACAGAAAGCTAAAAGGACATATTCAAGGTCACACAAAAAGCCCGATATCATGTATGTGAATCAGGATTCAATATTCATCTGAACACTGAATTTCAAGTCCTACCCATCAAGGTAACCCTTTCTCTGAGGTACAGAACAAAGGTAACTTTCAGTAACACTGGAAGAAGAAAGAGCTGGTATATACACTGAAGACACAAGATGGTGTAGTGGGAAGAGCAACAGATTTGGAGTTATGAGGAAAGAGGTTTGAAGTCTATCCCTCCTCCTACTTCACTTATCACCACAGTTGTCCCCCTTTTGTTTTATCTATGCTCTTATTCTACAATACATCAAGTACTTAATGTGTTTAACTTAACAGATGTACATATAGTATAACAATATACTTCGAATTAGAAGATTTGGGCTCAAATCTCTGTCATTCAACAGCCACCATTTTATTAAAGTCACAACCCTGTCTGGGTTTCAGATTCCTCAAATAAGGGAGCTGGACTAGAAATGATCTCTTCTATTCTTTCTAGCTTTAAAACTCTTCCGGACCTTTGAAATAACTTCCTATCCAATGCAAGAATCCATTCTTTAATTTATTAAATACCTATTAAATGCCTATTATGATGAACTCTGGAAAGTTCAAAGACATGAACTGCCCCTAAGGAGTTTGGATGAAACATGGGATTTTCTTGGCAAAGATACTGACTGGAATGGTTTGCCATTTCCTTCTCCAGCTCACTTTACAGATAAAGAAACTAAGGCAAACAAAGTTAAGTGACCTGGGGTAAGCCCAAGTCACAAAGCTAATTGTCTGAGGTCACATTTGAACTCAGGAAGATAGAGTCTTCCTGACTCCAGGCCCAGCACTCTATCCACTTAGCTGCCCTAGGTATGGAGGACAAACCTTTAAAAATAAGCAGGGAAGTAGGAGATGAAGTATGGGGAGATTCAATTTTGTATACGGGAAATAGTGAGAATACCAGTTCAGAGAGTACCTGAAGGCTTGCAAGTACTGTGAAATTAGTCTGTTAAAACAGGTCGAAGACAAGTCATCACCTGCTTTAACTAACTCAAAAAAGGCCATTCTATTTTCTCCTAGAGGAAACTGGGAGCCACAGAAGACTTTAGAGCAAAGAAGATACGACTTGTGCTTTAAGGCACACCTATCTGGTGGCTGTAACGTCAACGGATACGCCCCAGTTTCAAACGAAGAAAGGAAAGCTGTTCACTGCTCTAGAAACAGAGCAGGGATTCGTAACTTTTTTTTGGCTCAAACATCCTTATGGCACTCTGGTGAAACCTACAGACTCTAAGAATGTTTTTAACTGCCTAAAATAAAATGCATATGATTGAAAAAGGAACCAATTACACTGAAATAAAGGTGAATCTTATCTGTTTTCCCATTCAAGTTTACAGATTCTGAAGTGTCTCCAAGTACCCCCTGGGGGAAGGAATGGGGTCCCTGCACTCTAGGTTTAAGAACTCCTGCTCAAAGAAGCAACATATGCCTAAATACCTCCTAGCATACATTCAATAAACGTGTTGGTGAGCTGGCTCCCTCAGTGATAGTGTTCAGCAGGATCAAGCTCCTCCCGAGGCAAAAGCTACCCCCTCCCCGTTCCCAGCCATTCCATTCAATTAAATTAGCCCCCCCCCCCGGCGCCTACAACGCGTCTCTGAACAGCTGGGAGAGAAAGGGGACAAAAGTGAAACCGGAAGGGGGCCGTCCCGCCCCCCTTCATCACCGCTAGCCCTCTCTCCACAAGCAGCCCCATCGCGGACGCCTGACACCCGGCGCCAATTCCCTGCTCGGGCGGCGCGAGCCCCCCTCGTGACCCCTGGCGCATCCCCCCCGCCCCCAGCCGGCTCATGACGTCCTCCCCCCACCCCCCACTGGGTCCTAGCTCCCCCCTCCTGCGCCTCGCGCCCCTCCCTCCAATCCGCGTACCTCTCCCCGGGCCGGCTCAAGGCGCCCCTCCCGCCCCTCGCACGCCCCTGTCCCGGCCGAATCGTGACCCCCTCGCTCCCCTCGCCTCACGCCCCACCCCCGCCCCAATCCTCCGGACCAGAGCCAATTCCCACCAAGGCCTTGGCGCGCATGCCCGCATCGCCGGCCCGAGCCAGACGGCAGGGAGCGAGCAGGCGCACCCCAGTTTCTAGCGACCATTTAAAAAAAAATACCTTCCTCGTTGGGGCAGCAGCCGCCGCCGTCCCCTCAGCCTCGCCTTCTCCTCGGGTCCTGACTCTGAGGGCAGCGCCGGTGCCAAAGCCGCCACCGCGTCAGGGGGGAGGCTACCCTCCGTCACGTTCGGCCGCTGCCGTAAATCGCCCTCTGGCTCGAGCCGGCCTCAACCAATCGCTGGGACCCACTGAGCCTAGCGTGAGCTCGAGCCCCGTACGTGGCAGGAGAGGGGGAGGGCAGGGCAGGGGGCGGGGCCAGAGAGGCGGGGAGGCGAGGGGAAAGAGAAAGGAAGCCTCTCCTTCCGCCTTGACAAGTGCCGCTCCTCGTCGGCCCGAAGGCGCATGCGTCTCAGGGTGTAACTGTGACGACGGCTGTGGAGTCTGAAGGCTTGTGAAGTTTTGGGTAGTTTTTTAAATGGGATTCAGGGGAGAAGAAGGCATGGATGGAGATATTGCGCATGCGCAGAAGTGTGACAATTTTTCCATTTCCCTGAAAGCTGCCATGTAGACCCACTGAGCATGCGCCTGCCTGAGGCGTGGGTTTCCCCCTCCTGTTTTCTAAAAGGAGCCAGCATTGCCTGAGTATTCATTCAGCCTTTACCTAAATCAGAGATCCTTAACCTGGGTCCATGAATGATTATTAATTTTGTAACCGCATTTCAGTGTAATTGGTGTTGTCTTTTATTTTGTGCACTGAAAAACCTTATGATGAGCTGTCCACGGGCTTCACCAGACTACGAAAACACAAAAAAGGTTAAGACCTCTGATTAGATCATCTCTGTCCGAAGTCCCTTCCAGCTTTTTAATAAGCTCAATAATAAGCTCGTCCTGCTCAGTAATAAGCACTAAGATGGCTTATGTATCTCTATCCAATCTCTGAGCCACTACATTAGCCATTTCCCAAATCTGGAGCGCACTCCCTTGTCTTCCTTAGAGAATCCCTTCCTTCCTTTCAGATACAGCTCAAGTACCGTCTTCTGCGTGCAGCCTTTGCTGATCCACCCAACCACGAGTACCCTCCCTGCTAAACTAACTTGTATTAACTACGACTTGTTTGTATTTATACACTTTATGCTCTGTGTGTATGTATAATACCATATACAATACATATACTACATGCATAAATGTGTATGTGTATTTGTGTATATAGACATATGTATATATACATATTCATGTGTATGTGTGTATGTGTATATATTATATATACTTATCTCCCCCATTAGAATGCTGAGATCTTTAAGTGTAGGTATTGTTTCATTCTTGGTACTTGTAGGTATCTTTTGGACCTAGGGCAGTGGCTTAATAATACTAATGGCTTAATAAATAGTTGATTGATTGTTGATTACATCTCAAATAAGGTAATACATGTATAAACATTTTCAAAAGCATAAAGCACTGTGCACATATATAATTGTTATTATTGTAATGACCCCTTCCTCCACCTTTCCATTCTTTTGAAAACACCTAAAGGACAGAAACATTATCTTTCAAAATAAGTCAAATCCCTCTCTGGCTCACAGTGATTTCTCCCTCTTTTGCAGAGGCAAGTATGGCACAAAGAAAACAGTACTGTATATGAAGTTAAAGGACCTTGGTTCGAACTGAAGCTCTGCCATTTAATCCTTATGAAACCTTAGCAAGTCAGTACCAGTTTCCTCAACTGTAAAATAAAAGGGTTAGAGTAGATGTCTTCTAAGGACCTTTCCAACTCTAAATCTTTGATCCAACGAATTCTTTTAGCACTTATTATCTCTACCACTCAGTAGACATCTAATGAGTAAATGAAACAATATTGACTATTGTTAATGTGTCCCCAAAGTAGTATCCATGCAAGAAATACTCAATAAAATTTAACGACTGTTCATGGAGAGATAACCTGTATTAAGGAGCCACTCACCTCACCCCTTCAACATGTGCTTGTGTGGCACAGGTGGAAGTGCCCACATAACCTCTTATGCTGCTTTTCTGATAGCTGTAGAAAGGCAAACACATCGCTATATTAATTATCCCTATCCCAAAGTGGGAGTACAATATCTGAGCTGTTCACAGGATGGATGAAACACTCAAGCCATCCATCAAGTGGGCAGAGTTGCACTGGTGCCTGTGTCCAATAGCCTCTAAAAAGCTACCGTCATCTCCACTGGTCAGCCTGCAAACACTCGGACTATACCCAGTCCCACTGATGCCAGTCAGCCAGCCACAGGGCTCCCCATTGTATCTGTGATCCAATAACATTGTCCTCCTTATTCTTTGCACAATAACACTCTAACTCCTAACTACAGGCATTTTCAGTGGCTGTCCACTATGTCTGGCCTGGAACTCTCTCCCTCCTCGTCTCTGTTTCCTGGTTTCCCCTGGTGTCTTTCAAGTACTAGCTAAAGTCTCACCTTCTGCAAGAAGCCTTTCCCAATCCACCTTAATCTTCATGCCATCCCTCTGAGATTACCTCCAATTTATCCCATGTATATCTTTTTACTACATAGTTGTTTGCATTCCCATGAGAGTGTGAGCTCTTTGAGAGAAGGGATTGTTTGGGTTTGAGAGATTGGGGTTTTTTTTTCCTTTCTTTGTATGCCCAGCACTTAGCACAATGCCTGGCACATAGTGGGCACTTAATAAATGCTTGTTGACTTAAGTTTATTCACAGAGGAGTTGCCAAGTTTTGACTGAAGCTAGGGGAATGATATGAAATGTGATTTCCAGAAATGTCAAATAAATTATTTAAATCTATGGCTCCACTTTCTCCCCACATCTAGACTTTCCCTTATCAGTCAAATGGCTGACTTACCCATCCTGATATTCTTAAGACACTAGCAGTAACAGTCTATGGCCCCATGGTTTATTAGACATAGCAAAGATGAAAAGAAATTAACTGAGTGCTTCTCCATTGATCACTGTATCCAACCATCTTCCAAAATTCCAACCAACTACTTCTCTACCCTCAGGTAGCTAATAAAGACCCTAAAGCACCCTTATTCATAGCTTGTGAAATGAGAATAAGGGAGAGGAATATAAATCCCAGATCTTCTCTCTGAAAACTCAGAATTGAAACAAAAAGATGAGGACCACACTGGAAGAGAGAAGTTGTTCTCTCAGCCTTTCCTCACTACTCTTCCAGGTTTCATGATAATTGACAATATCCAGAACTCTGGTCCACCTTTAGATCTGATCCCTTACTTCTACTCCTGGTCCATTCATCTCCCTCTCACTGGTTCTGATCATCACAGGTAGAGGCTCAAGTCACAGTTGTTGCTACCATTCACAATCCAGCCCCACTCTTCCATCATTTGTCCCAGTGAGAGGAGATAAAAGCATAAGTCTTGGCTGGTAGGAACACAAAGGGTTTATTCCTAAAGTATGCTACTATTTTCCCTCGTAGTAGAAAGGGAGCCTTGGTCTTGCCAAAATGTATCTCTCTTCTACCTATGCCCTGAAAAATAGCAGATAAGAAATCACTTTAAGGGGCAGCTAGGTGGCACAGTAGATAGAGGACCAGCCCTGGATTCAGGAGGACCTGAGTTCAAATCCAGCCTCAGACCAAGCACTTGACACTTACTAGCTGTGTGACCCTAGGCAAGTCACTTAATCCCAATTGCCTAAAAAAAAAGAAAAGAAAAGAAAAAAGAAATCACTTTAGCAAGGGAACCAAGAAATTTGGCTATCTATGTAAAGAGCCACTCAATCACATGACATCAGTCCATCCACAGAAGACTATGCCCCTATAATGAAGAAACTACATCACAAATGAAGAGCTGAAAGAGGATAAAAAAGCAGCAGCAGTTCAGCAAAGAAGCCAAACCATAGGTGACAATCAGGAGGTGGCAACAGCAGACTCAGCAGAGAGCAGCTCACTAGAGATGCCTGAAAGAGAGCAGCATAAATATATCACCAGATGACTTCATCATATCCTTGGAAGTGTGGCCAAAAATACTCTTCCTGGATCCAAAACACATGTTCCTTGATCACACATGTATGTATGCTCTTTGTTCATATTTCCTGGTCACATATTTTTCTCTTCTCCCCTTAGTAATATGATTACCTATGAGAAAGCATGCCCCTGTTGCACTGGACAAAGCATGTTTGTGTGTGTGGGCGTCACTTATTTTATGTGTTTTAATTAAGTAACTTATATCTTGAACCAATGTCTTCTTGTCACCCTAGTAAAAATAAACGCACTGGTAGAATCTTATGAGCTATGGTTTTGATTGGACTCACAAAGTGCCTTGAACTAAGGAGCCTGAGTGTCTTAGTCGTCCTTTGTGCTGCTACATTAGTAGTATTTTGTAGATGAAGAAAGTGAAGTTCTGAGATGTGTCCGTGGTTACACAGCTAATAAGTAGCTGAGGTGAGATTTGAACCCATATCTCCGAACTCCCGGTCCCGTGTGCTGCTTCCCTAGTGAAGGCCTAGAGGCAATCAACTTTACTCAAAAGCTGTTCTGCATTGGGTCTTGCCTCAGCTATGGAATTCTGATGGCGAGTCTATCACCTGGGGAAGGTGTAACGCCCAGGTTTCTAACCGTTTTCTAACACATGCACAGTGTGTCTGAGAAGACAGAGGTGATGTTATTCCTAGTGTCTTCTTGGGCATCTGCCAGTGCATACATTATTTCCTTCTAGATTGAGACGGGTAAGGTTTCTTCACACATCTCTCCTAAAGGCTGTATTTTCAGATACTTTGCTGACAGTGTTTCTATCTGCATGCTTTTTTTTCTTCTGCAGACTGTAGGAATATAACCTAAAGTCTTTTTCTACACTGTTGGACAGAAGAAAAATGAAACCCATAAGCATTTGTGGGATCATTAAATGGGAAGGGAGCTTGAAATGTCATCTAGTTCATCAATTTACCTCTAAGATAAGACTATAATTGGGCCACCTTAGGTAGGAGTCCTATTTTTTCAAAGATATCCATTTATTTCATTGATTTTGTTATTACTTAAAGTTTGCAATAAAGTATTTATTTTTAAAAATACATAGGATAATAGATTTAACATTGAAAGGATCCTTAGAGGCTAGTGAATCCAGGTTCACAATTTCCCTTTAACAACACATTTTAGCTCTCAATATCAATATATTCTTAGAGACAATAAAAAGCTGGAAGCTGTCAAGCAAGCCATTATGAGGATAGTTCTTTGAAAACCTTAAAACTACCTAAATGTGAGCCATCATTGATAGGCCCTCCTGTTTCTGAATAACCAGACTA